CAACGTGTCTACCTGTCTATTACCCACTAACTCGTCCACATTGGCTCTAGGAGACAGTTGCTCGTTGCTGGAGGGGACGGGGTGCAGCGTCCTTGTGGCCGTGCTAGGCTCAAAGAGCGGTTCCATGCACTCAGTGTGGAGCGGACTACGGTCAAGCCACCGCCTTGTGTGCACTTGATTCCCAAATACAGCGTGCCTGTGTTTGCCTGTGAAGGAATGTGGGCCGGCTCCGTTGATGAAACGTGGCTCCCATCCACATGTCTCCCGGTCTTATTCCTTCAGGTTTACGCTGGATATGGGGTGTGTGGTTGGAGCTGTGGGTGGTGCAGTGCAAGCTACCCATGGTCCATCTGTTGGTGCAGGCGTCCTGTGGCTGGCCACAGTGACAGGCACATCCGAAACCGGATGCCGCAACCATATATATTTATATATATTCAACAATATACCAATTACAATATGATTGGCTGAGTGTTACAACACATAAGAAAAAAGGATAGCATGAAACGGAAAACAACAATTAGGGTAGAGGAATCTCACAGAGGTGCGCCAATGCGTACGGTCCTCGGCCATATCCTCCAGCGTTTTCAACAATGTGTGCTTGGGGTCCTTTGGTCCCCAACCCAGGAGTCGGGAACGCCCGACAATAGCCAGCTTCATCATTTGCGCCTTAACACATTGGATACAAGTTTTACATTACCCTCCTTTTCGTCACTTCAAACTACACCTGTGCTCGCGAATAGGGCTCGTCGTGGTAGCCGCCGCGTAGGCATGCGAAGCACATGGCCAAGCCAGCGAAGCCTCCGCAGTGAAATGATGCTATCAATCGATCGGCGGAGTTCGTTAGATTTGAAGACTCGCCGACGGATTTCCTCATTACTGATGTGCTGTTGCCATCGAACACCAGCAATGCTTCGCAGACAGCGGTAATCGAAGACTGATAGCCGTGGAACATCACTTTTGCGAACGGGCCAAGTCTCACAGCCGTACAGCAGAATCGCTCGTACCGTAGTATTGTAGACTCGTCCCTTGAGAGTGAGGCTGAGATCACGACGAAGCCACAGGTGATGAAGGTTAGCGGAAGCGACTCTAGCCTTGGAGACACGCAGAGAGATCTCATCCATCAAACCCCCAATACTAAGACAATTCCCATGATAAATGAATTTGTCGTTCACTTCCAACGGATGCCCCGAAAGGGTGAGAGAAGGATATGCGCTTGGCCAGTCCTGTAATAAGACCTTAGCTTTGGAAGGGGCAACACTTAACCCAAATTGGGCGGCGGACATCTCCAGTCTGAGCGGCACATGCTGGGCGGCTTGGGAAGACTCGCAAATCACAGCGATGTCATCGGCGTACTCTAAGTCCCGAAGCCGGTCACCAGGGAACAGTTCAACACTGCAGGACTCAGAGTTATCCAGGGCAGTATCCAGGATCACGCCAATGTCGAAGTTGACCAAGAATGGAGAGGCTGGGCCACCTTGTCTAACACCGCTGGTGATATAAAAGGGTGCGAAACGTCACCGTATGCTCGCACGCGGCCCGAAGTTTGATGGTAAATAGCACGGAGAACGCTGATGTACTTCTCAGGTACTCCACTCTTCAGTAAGCAGTCCCAAAAACAACTCTGTCAACAGAGTTAAAAGCGGCTCGAATGTCCAAAAATATGACTATGGTTGGTCGACTGAACGTATGGCGATGTTCAAGTATCTGGCGGCTCGTAAAAATGTGATCGACGCAACCGCGACCCCGGCGAAATCCATCTTGTTGTTCACGCTGGTGCTGTTCCCGTACGCAACTGAGCCTCCGTAAGAGTAGGGCAGGGAGCAGTTTGGATGCCGCACAAATGAGACTGATGCCACGATGGTTAGAGCAAATGGTCTGGTCTCCTTTTTTGTAAACAGGTACAAGATCCGCTAAATTCCAGTCGGATGGTATGGTTTCAATAGTCCAAATCCGTTGGAATAGAGATGTCAGTTGGCGAGTGGGAGATGGACCTACATATTTGAACAGGGCAGGAGGAAGTTCATCTGGGCCAGGTGACTTGTGACGCTTTAGTAGCCGAAGCTCATTGGAGACGTCAGCCTCTGTCGGTGGAGGAACATCCACGTACCAGGGAGCACTGTGGACACCGGAAAATAGACTCGGTTGCGCTGCTGGCCAGTTGAATTGATCATCAAAATGCTCTGCCCATCGTACCAGACGATGGTGACGAATGCGAATTAGTTCATCGTCATTTTCACGCAAAACCCCACTCACTGTTGGTTTTCTGCCTCCCGTGCAGCGAATAAGTTGGAAGAGTTTGTGGGAGTTTCCTGATGAGGCTGCCGCTCCATCTCGACGACGCGCTGTGTCCAACAAACCTCGTGATCCTTCCTGAGGAGCTATCTGAACTCAGCACATGTGGTTCTGCTTAGTGTATTGTACTTAACTCCGGCTGGAATTGTTCGACGACTTTCCATTAATTGGAGAGACTGTGCGGAGATTCAATTGACTAACAGCTCGTCTATTGAAGCCACAGAAAGGGTAGCGGACTTTCGTAAGGCGCTCTGGATCTGTACCCAATGTGTCTCTACGTCGGAGGATAGAGAACATAGATTAAAGGCTGTGTTTTGAAATGCGCCGAGAACATTTGGAACGGCGAGCTTGTCTATGTCAAACCGTTTCCGGCAACGCTGTTGGGTGCCTCCAAAACGCAGAACGAACTTAGCACACACGAGCGCATGATCCGAAGTCAGATAAGTGTTCCATATTGACTTGCAGTACGTTATGCAGCCATACCAACGGTAAGTAACAGCCGGAGGTCGCCAGGTGGCTCGCTGTTGCCAGGAACGTGGTCGATGCACAGATGCACGAGTCGATCGCCGTTGTCCGTCCTGCGAGTACCGTGGCTGTGTTGACCCCCAAGTTCGTGCTCATGAACCTCTAGTCTACCGACCTGCGCATTTAGGTCACCGGCGAGTATCACGATGTCCATGAGGCGTTCCTTGCGGAGGTCGGTGAGTTGGCAGTAAAACTCGTCTTTAGCTTTGTCCGGGCTGCAGTCAGTTGGAGCGTATGCCACAATGAATAAGCAGCGCCTACTGGTCCGGTGGCTGGAAAATCGCACTGAGCTTTCCAAACGGACTGCACAAAGACGACTGTTGACCGGGAACCAGTTAATGAGCGCTGCCTAAGCACGCGTGCTTAACGCAACTCCTACGCCGGCGCAACCAGAGGCTGTCGCTGTCGTGTGGTGGCAACTCTACGTACGCAACGCAGAGGTGCGAAACCGCGTGTTTGGAGCGAATAGTGCCAGTCTTCAGGACGTTATTCTCCAACATCGCATGCGTTGGCCCGGGCACGTTTTGCGCATGCCAGCCCAACGCTTTCCACGTCGAGTGCTATTTGCACTCCCAGGGAGCAAGTGGAAAAAGTGCCGCGGTGGAGAGCCAATGACGTGGAGAAGGAGCATGAAGAAGTCAACCTCAAGTTTGGAGACAGTCGGACCAGTCCGTCTTCCAGGTTGGGGATCAAGAGATGCTGAATCGCAGTGGTTGGAAAAAGCAGACGTCATGGCCCGCAACAGACATCAGTGGCGTTAATGTTGTTCTGCTATTATATCCCCCTTCAATACACACACAAAACTCAAAAACAAAAAATTCAGAATGCGTGTGTAAACCCAAAAAACGTTTTCCTTTTTTGTCGCAGTTCGTGTTTCTAGCTTCTCTACTACTTTTCTTCAGCCATGGTTCTAATGGAACAATGTCTGTTAACAGATTGTGAATATATTGAGATTGTTATTCTCCTAGGTTAATAGAACAAGGTCACTTGATTATTGAGTCCTGGAGTACCCGCCATGTGTTTAGATTGTGACATACAATGTCTGGATCACGGTTCCCCTTGAAACAAACCTCTGCCATTTCGACCATGATGACCGCGTTCGAAGTGAAAAATTTCCTTCCTGCTCTCTCGCAATCTTGTTGAACCTGTATCGATTCGTACGGCACCTTGGTCGGACCGAAAGATCCAACTCTTGCTGAATGTGTCAAGCGCGAAAAAGTTGTTAATCGTATTTGTAATGACATTCCTTGAAACTGAGTCGCCCAAATTGCTACCTTGCTGAACGGAGACAAACAATAAATCCGAACCACTACCCGCGACTCCGAGAGAGAAAAAGATAGGGATGTTTAGCGAAAGAGTTCTTACGGCTTTACCCAAAGGATACACACGGTGCGTACAGTACGACTAGCCTCGCTATCGGAATGTGTCTTCTGTTTCCGACAGAATTGCCACACAATAACGGTATCACTGAGGGGATCATATAGTCGACAAGTTGGCAACAACATCTCTGGGTGAGAACAGAGGTAGTTGTCATCGGATAATACTGCCAACGATGACGCTTTGTGTACTCGATACACAGCAACAGTATGGCGGTTTTGTAGAACTATGTGGTTTCTATAACCAAGAGAGCAGGGGATAACCGTTGAGATGCATGGTAGGAGAGGTAGTTTACGACCGAAACAGCTAAGAACGGTCGGGTGAACAGCTAGTACGCAGCATGTAGCCTGAGACCTATGGCGATGCGGTCTATTTGGGCTATGGTGGTCAATTGCATAGGTACGCTAAACGGTACAATGGAGTCTATTGAACACAAGGTTTGTGCTGCTTAGAAACAGTTTATGTCTACTTTTGTCCGTGTGTTTAGAATCACGGCTGTCTAACAGAGCTTCTGAAATAGTTATTGATGTAGATGTGCCTTCACATTCGGAACAACCCAAAACCCTAGGCCATAAAGTGCTGAACTGAACGAAGTGAAGCGTCATCGTCAGATTCGGCCTAGTATGCAGACAGACACAAAGTAGCGGACTGGGCACCGCGTAATCGACTTCAGGATCGCTCCAATGACTGTATGTTCCCAAGCCTAATAGCCAACATTAGTGTCGGCGATGTGAGATGTGTCCCTATGAGGGCTAGGACGTAGCACACATCACTCGGAAGAAGAAGCAATGGAGGAAATGGCTCACCTTGTTTTAGTAACCTTGAGTTGATGCGAGGCCAGTGATTGGCCGTCACGGCGAAGTTCGCGCATCGCTCCACGTCTTTCACGAGCGACCTTCCTTAGCAGAGTGCGTTTGGAGTCTGCTTTAGTGCGACGGAGATGCAACCTGAGAGGTGGAATGTGTGATTTAGAGAGTTGAGTAGGCGGAAAGAAAACAGTTGGCCAACGAGTGCAGTAATTGATCACACCGATTAATTTCTCCGGTCAACCAGTACCATCGTGTAATTTCTGAACATAGTATCGGTCAAAACAGGGCGTAATTTTGAAACAAAAGGTACAATGCATACTTGCGCTCAGTGAATACCGACAGACGGTTGGAAACTGTTGAATTCAAACAGGACGTTGCCGAGTTCTCTGACCCAATTATATTTGAAGACAAAGTGAGCGCTGCACACAAGTAATCGAAGAGCAGGTGGCGCTCATCTAATCAAGGACATGTGCACATCTCTGGATATAGTTGTAACTTAGGCCCTTGTAAAACTGTGGGTCCAACTATTACTAAAACTATTAGTTGGTGAAAAAATTGTAGACAAATAACTAGAATATTTTAATCGAACGTCAGACACGAGAGAGAAGTTGACATGGATTAAGTAATTCTGATAAAAACCGTACTGTCAATTGGTTGTTACTGAGAGAGAGGGGACATAGAGCACTTGATATTGATGACATGTACCAAGCGGATGAAGATGAAACCACTTCCAAACAGGGATCATAAGCTCGAATAGTGCACAATTGGCCTCGCAGTTATAACATATGCGAGGTTGTAAGTTCGTTGGATTCCCGAGGCAGCGCGCGCAACTTGTGTTGGAAAACGCTTGCTACCAGAGCCAGTGAGTTGAGGCGTCACAAAGGCGACAAGGAGAGAACAAGAGGGTCAGTGCTCCGAAGCTTGTCATCAGCGCTAAATTGTTAGAGCATGAAAAAGCAAACTGAGAATCATCCACGTTTGCTGAGTGAATTCAGAGAAGGAGGCTTAGGATAAAGGACAGATGGAAAAAGTGAAACAATAGATAATGACAACACACTTCTCTTCGAAGCGAGGCTCCAGTTGTGGCAACAAACCGAACTTCTTCAAGGCACGCGAATCTTCCGGTCGTTCTGAAGAAAGAATGGCAAGGCGTGCCTTGGGCACTAGAGGTTTCGGGGTTCCCATCTGAGCCAGTGACTGCATAGAAAGCAGCAAATCCGTCAAACGCACCCGCAGTTCTGCAGGGAAGCGGTCCGCATGCAAAGAAATAAGCAGTTGTCGCATCGGTGCAAACAGTAGAGAGCATACACAACTGGGGAGAAGAATGCTAAGGGCTTGGTGAAGATTTGTGGATAAGCACAACATGCGATGTAGGCATGCCAACTGGATGAGAGGTGTGCGGCTCTTAGGTATGACCGCGGATGAATCGGAAAGTTTCAGATCCAAATTGCAGTATTCCTCTCTGAATAAAGGAAAGAAATTAGAGCAAACGGATAAACCAGTGCGTGGTCGAGGAATTTGAGCGATTTTAAAAGTAGTACAGAATGGTTCAAAAATAAGAAAAGGTGACCGGGTGCTGCTCATGCAAAATACGCTGCAACCAGAGTAAAAAAGGAATGAGACCACCGAAGTGCAGTGAAGTCTCACCGAGAACACAAAGGTTGCCGAAGTGACACACACACAGAGTAGATAATATGAAGAAGCTTGGAAACAGGATGTGAGCTAACGATACGACATGGACAGTATATGAAGGAGTGAAGAAACGAACTACATATAACAACCCAGGGCTGTGGCGGAAAAACGCCAACATAACTGTTCAAAAGTAGTGCAGCTGAGAAACTCATCAATACTGGACGAAATAGGCGGGAACTGACGAAATTGTGGGGGAGCTCGTCCCGCTCAAAAGGATGCAACATTAATCAGATTTTACCGAGGAGAAGAAGAAGGTAAGGCCTAAAGATAAAAACCGATGCTACAATTTTAAGATGGCAGTCATTTAGGACCACGCAAAAATGCGGTTGCTGTGAAGTTATCCAATTGTTAACCCTATGTAAATTAACGTGGAGATCACAGCGAATTAAGATAGTCCTCGATAAAGAATCAACAGTCAAATAAGCGGTATCATTAACGCAGTGGCGAGATTTCTGGTTGTGTTATGATGTGATGTTCTTGGCAACCTTTGGTTATCTATGTTTCAATGACATGTTAAATGCAGAGTAAGAGAGAAATGTATGGAAGCCTCAAAAAGTAGAACAGCGTGTCGCACCAAGCAGAGGGACTCCGGCACAAGACCTGAGGCCCGCAGGTAACTCAAGCGAAAGTCCGAGAGATAAAGTGAAAAAGCGATCAGGTAACTCACAATGGTACAGTCGCCATATCCCCTCGAATAATGAGAAGTGGGAGGGTAGAGTTGTTGGCGACCGGCGATGATGCAAGACGAAACATTCGAGTCAGCGCAAAAACAAGCTCAGGACATAGCACGCGTATGCAAGTAGACCTGTAACTATCGGCAATGGAATGTTTCTGGCCCACCGCGAATTTTGACTGGAAACGCTCCATCAACAGTTCAACAAGGAAAAGGTTATGAATGACATTGTTTAGACTCGGGAAAGTGGCATTCCGCAGCTCGTTGGCCACAAAGACCACTACAGCCTCTTCATGCTCAGACATTCGAAGTAATACGCGTAGAAGATAGCCCTGAAAAATTATAAGAACAATGAGACAAATGGGTAGAGTAATATGCCAACTTGAAACAGAAAATATGCTAGAGCGCGTCTCATCGTGATAAAGCTTAGTTAAAACTCACTCATAGGATGCGTAAGGGATAGAAAAACGAGTACGAATACTCTTGGGAAATCAGTTATTTTGATGTGTAGACCCAATTGGATTGGACGTTGGTTTGGTTCGTGATGCATAGTAAAATGTTTGTGGCCTACATGGATTGCAAGGAAGTCAGAGATGTATCGAACAGCGGTTCAAACTGGTGCATGGACGGTCAATAGCGCTGGTTCGGAATAACAATAGTAATCCGTAGAGGAAACAATCGCACCGTCCGTTGCATATGCAACAGCTGGGTTACGAAGGAATATGTTAAGTCAAACTTCCCGTGCGTGAGAAAGGAAGCGATGGATGAAGCCGAAGTGCAGTGTAGATGCTCCCGCACCTGTGTATCATCCGGAGGCCCGGCAAACCGCTAAGTAATGACGCCTTATATCGTGGCCGACTAGCCGAACAATCTTCTCGTGGTGCTAGCTGGGTGGTTCCGGTTTACCCCGTTCCAGCAAAAAGTTCGGCGACAGTGTTCAAGAAGGTGGTGGGTTTTGGTATGGCAAGCGACCTCCCTATAAAAAGCCACAAACTGTTTAACAACACTGAGACGTTCATTAGTGGGTGTATAATAAAGTTTAGTTCCAATTGGTTTGATTGGGAGGATTTCGCAAAGTACTTGGCAATGCCATCAGGCTAGCTGCATTGAGAGACATCCCAGTATCTTGCAATATAGATGGAGTACCACACAACCAGAAAAGTGCCAGAAGACCGTTTCGACCTACCGAGATTCGTCACTGGTGCACATCCCCGGCTCCATCAGGAACCTAGCCTCTCCACACAAGCGGCTTTTATCACTCGCCAACAGCTTACATCAGGCCGGTGCGCGAATTGGGTATAGTGAAGGTGCAGAAACAACGTTATTTAACTGGGTTTCAGTTATCATACAACTGCTCAATTCGGTTAGAAACCTCCGCACGATTTCCAATCATGAGGTCGATAAACGCACTTTGTCTGTCGTAGCGGTGTGCGCTCGCTCAGACACAGATAAGGATGAGTTTGACCATCAATTCCTCAACAGTCTCTGGAAAAAGCGCGGCATAAATATCGTGGTGTTTGTCAGGGGCATGAACGCGCAGGTCGGTAGGCTCGAAAATGGTGATCACGAATTCGGTAATCAGCATAGCCAGGGTGCTGGCATGATTGGTAATAGTGATCGCATTATACAGCAGCATGCATATCACGTTTATTCCTCTCCGGGGCTAATTTTCGGCGGCCTAGGCGTCAGTTGGTCGCCATGTGCGACCCTTCATCAAGAGCATCATCACCATTATACACGTGAGTTGCAGGCGGAAAACAACTCAACTATGGTGCCGCAATATAAAGAAAGAAAAAATGAAGCAGTGGCATGTCGGCTGAGTCACCAGTAATGGATGGACATCGTTCCGGAGAGCTAACAGCCAGGTATGGTGCCGCAAAAAGTCATTTAATGCCTACTGATTGAGATCGTGGTTGGAGAGGGAGGCTAAGCGGAGGTGGGTGGACAAAGGACCATGGCTTACCGAACTATGTCCACCGAGTTTACACGAATTCATCTTGATAAAGTGCATGGAACACGAGACAGCGTGATATAACAGACATCTGACACTGCATGTCGTGCAGTTGGTTACCTAATACTATTTGGCCAATGGCGTGAGTCAGCACATGTGACATCTTACTACCGTACAATTAGTGACTCCACATCATGGGAACATTGGTGTGAGTGATTCCGCATGAAACCCGTTCATCAGTGCACCCTGCTGAACTTCTATAAACATCACAGTTTTGCGCCGCAATCTTTCGCGGTCAGCTCCTTTGAAACAAGTGTCACATAAAACACCGCTAATTAAGACACCTACAGATAATCCATGTGCCATTCTGAAGCCATTTTCGTTAACTTTTCGGAATAAATTGCGTTGTTAGTAAGGAATAGTGTTGGAAGTGCAAATTGTTGAGGCGCAGATATTTTGGTATTGCTAAATGCATGTAGGTAGCACCGGTATCCAGTTTTAGCATTTTTGTTGATTTGGCTCTGCTGTACACGCTTTGCTCAAGCCTTCCAAATGCATCACGGTGGCTGGATCCTGACAGATCGCGACCCGCTGCCCCCAATGCTGTGCCCTTGGCTCATTTCCTGAACGTCTCCTCGTGGGTGGGAGTTCGGTTAGACGCTTCTTCTAGCTAAGATCTAAGACGCAATTCCGTGTGAGTCGGTTCACTGAATCATGGCGCACGGCCTGCTACTTTTCGGCTTTATACTTTATCGAAAGCTATGGCTGAGGACCCAAATCGTTCGCCTGTCAGATGTGGACGCCTTGGCAGGATCCTAGTCCAACCCGCCAACTATGAATTACGGCAATAACAATAAATACATGCTGAATCAGCCGTCGCGCAGTAGCACTAGGAAAAGGGTCGCCTTATCTGCTGCATACAGCGGGGGTGAAAATAAGCTACCGCTAGCGCCTCCCTCCTTTGTTCTTCCCCCCCCCCCCACGCTCTCCCCGTCCCCGTGGCAACTAACCCACTACCTCCCCCAATCCTGGTATTCACCACCCATACGATTGCTCACCAACGCAAATGTATGCCTCCGCGCAAAGCGCTCAAAATCAGATGACGGAACGTGCGCACACTGTCTCACCAGGGTACGAGTGAGCGTCCCGAACTACGCACTGCACAGGTGGCGATGGAACTCGCGTGCTACGGGATCGATATTGCTGCAGCCAGCGAGACTCGGTTTGCTGACCAAAGCAAGTTGTATGAGACTGGCGTTGGTTACACATTCTACAGGGTACGGAACGCTCCCTCAGCACTACGTGAACATGGGGTCGGGTATGCACTAACCGGCTGCCTAAATTGTCAGATTGTGGCAGAGCTGACTGGCATCAGCCCACGACCGATGATTCTCTGACTGCGACTTGGGAGATGTAAGTATGCCACTTTTATTAGCAGGTATGGTCCCAGCATGTGCTATCGTGATGACACGAGGGATCAGTTTTATGCTCAGTTATCCTCCGTGATACGGTCTGTGCCAAGGAGTGATCGATTATACTTACTGCGTGACTTCCATGCACGAGACCAGTGCTTTGAAGAGGACCTTACCACCATCCTTAAATAATGAGGGTATGAGGGAATCCGGGTCAGCAGTAGGAAAACGATTGAGGGCTGTGATCCCGTTTTGGACCACAACGTTTGATGGAGTCTCTAGACTAACCGACCATGGTTCATCCTGCATCAGCTGAGAAGGAAGTGGTAAAGTAGCGGGGAGCCAACTGAACTGCTCTCGAAAGTGCAACGCCCAAGGAGCCATAAAGCGTTCCTTAATGCAGATCAGAGCACACGCACTGTCTCTGATTATTACATTGACGCCTGGTTTCTTGGGATCAGTGATGCGGATCAGCTGGAACAGCTTGCGATAAATGCCGACTGTTCTCGCCTCCTCCATTTCTCGTGACCTACTAGTCCATCAGGCTTCTGTATCAGTACTCAGGCTCCAGTTTAGTTCGCGCCAATAGTCCGCCTAGTTACACTGAGCTCAGAGCCAGTCGGAAGTTTTCTCCTGGATTCCAACAGGTGCACCGACCTGTCGGAAATCCAGTGACCGATGCAGGCACGACTGACTGCTGCAAGCAGAAGCTCCCTCATCGTACATGGCAGACGAAATGCTATTCCACTAAATATCAGTGTCATTAGGACGTGAGAGCGAAAGTTTGATACGCAGGGCATCCTATTAGAGTTGCCTGACTGAAGACTGTGATAACTTCCAAGTTGCCAATCGAGGGAGGCGCTTGTACGTCTCTAGGTAAAGTCCAGGGAAAAACAATTTAGTACCAAAGCATGGTCAAAGTTGACGCGGGTATTCGAGAAATATCGGCAGCCCACTATGTACCCATGCCATATGTAACTTGTGACAACTTGATCAATTTGGGTTCATCACTGGTCAAACGGCACTTCGGCGCCCACTGTGTCTGAAAGCAGTGCAACTAAGAAACAGCCGGTACGCGCACAGCTGTATCAGACGATCACCGTTGTCCGCACGGCCAGAGTTAAGTAAGTAATTACCACGTATCTGAAATTCTGATGAGCTCAGACGACCTACATGCGCATACATATCCCCTGTAGGAACTATGGTATGTGAACTGGTAGTGCTGCGAAGTAGCGTATTCAGTGCGTGGTAAAAGGCGTCATTGTTAGCATCAGAACTGCAGCCGGTGGGGATACAAGCGGAAACCACTAACAAACAGTGTAAAGTAGTACTTCGTGAACCAACCTGAGTTGATGTCGTCAAGTGGCTGTCCACAGGAATGTAAACAAGGAATGACGACTCAGTGGCGAAGCTGATTACTGAGGAGACTGAATTCGTCTGATCTATAACCACTGACCAATCTGGCAATAGTTCTCAAGGGGCCCGAGAGCCTCATCCAGTGTAGCCCAATGGGTCGACGAGGTACGCAAATCGTCGAGTCAAGTTCAGGTCCAGTTTCGTTGATACCGGTAACCCGTGTATGGTGATAAAGAAGCAAGGAAGCTGTCTGGTCAATGAAGCCTCACCCTCACAAGATAGTCGTATGTAGTTACTTGGTGCTCCTAAGGCATATGCAACAAGGATTACACTAAGGTCTCATTCTTGTTCAGAGTAATTCTCCGAAGATACAGACTAGACTTGACGTTGATATACTGATGTCGTTATCGCTGTCGTTGTTACCAACGGTACAATGACTTAGCGGTTGAGATCTAGGTTAGGTAAAAAGTCACATTTGGTGAACAGCCTCACTCTAGCCTGGTGAGGATAGTGATAGTTTCTCTCCAACCGGAGTAAAGTGAGCTCAATGACGAATGACTGCCTACCATTCACCCTATGATATGGTAATTGTCGCTGCACGCAACTTGGTCTTTCTATACATGTTTGAACAGCTGCGGAAAATATGCAACAGAGTAGAATTCAGATTATTCCGTTAAAATGTGATCCTTCTTACTAGTATGTAAGTTATGAAGGAAAAATCTTCCATGAAATGACGGAAGATTCACAGAGTCTGTCCAGCCAAGATTGCCTAACCGCCATTATACTGTGATGTCAAGAAACTAGATGTACCTCGATCATAAAAACAACGGACAAAAGTGAATGTTCTTAGGAAACGAAAAAAATGCAACTCAACCCTACCATACCTGAAGTCTCGAAGCTTTTGTTAGTGGCGGTAGGCTGAGGTCCTGTATCCACCAATAAGTTACAGGTACAGTTTCAGTATATATCTAGTGAAAGAAACTGGCTAATTTGAAGCAGCTTGCTGCTTTGAAGCATACAATAATTACTAGGCAAAGTACCGAATATTAGGCACGGTGGTACAGCGGCAGAATCGGAAATTATCGAAAGATCGGCACAACGGTCTGGTAGGCTTAGAAATCGATAAGGCGTGATGAAGTGGGCATTGAACCAAGAGGAAAAATGGCGTGTTAACATCACTGCCTGACACATTAAGCAAAAAAGTGAACAAGGCAGGACAGAAAATGAAAACCTACTACAACTTTTGCCGGTCTATCCACGTCATCTACACCGCGTGATGTTGATTCTGTCGCTGGCGATCTAGAAAATAACACAGTGAAAGCAATGTGAAGCATTGATAACTATGACAAAAATGTATCTTGTGTCTATAGAAGGGAGTACCCGTAGCACATCAGCACTTGAGATGCAACTCCGCTACCAAACAGTAAGGAGAATAAGAGTAGGTGCATGGATATGACCTTCTCCCAAACAACCTCTCATGACCCATGACACAAAAGAAGTGTGAAAACAATAGACTAGGGTATGTGTTGGGTAATGTTTATATTCAGGTCACTTCCATCATAACACGATGTCTGAAGGCGCGAAACATAGTTCAACTATTGTGCCGCAATATATAAAGATAAGGCATTCGAAAAAACAAACATTGAAAACGATCGAATGGAAAATATATAAGCAATGCACTGCGTAGCAACATGTTATGCGTCAAGAGATCGTGATTGGAAGGAAGGCTAAGGGAGATGGGCAGACAGAGAAAACACGAACACTACTGAGATTGGCTCCTTGCCATGTCAAATAGTGTATCCAACCAGACGTGTTCAACGTCCTGCGGACCAAAGCCAAGCAGTCAGGACACACCAACAGAAGCCAACTTTGAACCGAGGGATTTATTTCTCTTGACCAAGTCATCGGAGTGGCCACCCGACCTCTCCTTCCATCTACACCAGCGGCGCGCAAACAACGCACATCGCGTTGGTCGGTGTGCTGGCATGTGCAACACGTGGCCAAGCCATCGGAATATCGTGCGTCATATAATGGTGCTGAGCTGTTCACCCGCTCTACCTGCACCAAATACACTACGCCAGACACATACATTACTCACATGGTACCCCCACCAGACAAGAGCTTTGTTGCGAAGATAGCTATGGTCGAACGTAACGGGCCTCATTAAGTCTGTCGCTTTGACGGGCCAGGTTTCGTAACCACACAGTAGGGTTGAACGGACAAGTACATTGTAAATTCTGCTCTTCAGGGCGAGAGTGAAGTCGCGCCGGCACCACAGGTTGCAGGGATTAGTAAGAGCGCGTCGAGACAATGCTATGCGGTTCGCGGTCTCATTTTCCATACCAATGGCGCTGATATAGCTGCCTGTAAACTGAAATTTCTTAGTGACTTCAAGCTGATCACTATCAAAAGGCAGCGCAGGGATGGGGCTATGCAACTCTTGGAGGACTTTGCACTTCGAAGGTGTAAAGTATAGCCCGAAACGAGTGACAGCCAATGCTAATTTGTTCAGTGCAACTCGGCACGTTTGAAAGCTGTCACAGATGAGGGCAATGTCGTCGGTGTACAACAAGATAAGAAGTTATTCACATAGAAGCGGCTCCACGCCTTTCAGGTCGTGTACAGTAAAGGCTGGTTCCATAACTTAGTTAATGGAAGTTAAAAAGGAGGGGTGACAGCAGGCGTTTTGTCTTACACCGCTGGTAGTATGGAAGGCAGTGACAGTTCGCTGTAAGACCTCAACATGCCCGAAGTACGGGAGCAGTGTTCCGACAATGTTTACATATTTTTTGGGCACATCGTTGATAAGCAGACAGTCCTAAAGGGAATATCGATCAACGTTATCAAAGGCACCTTTGATGTATATATATATATATATATATATATATATATCTGCCCCATGCTGAGGCTGATGTTGCATTCTTGATGCTTCTTCACCGCAGTTGGGCTAAACCAACTGACACTTAAACTAGGTCTTTTTAAGCTGGCTAAATTTCATTCCACTTCATTTGGTTTGTTCTGCCTACCTGACTACTCTTCTATTAACTGACCACGTTGCTTACATTAATTGCGCTTATCTTCGGTAACTTTGTTGCGTTTGTAGCATTTTTAACTAACTAGTGGACATTTTTTCATTATCGCGGATTCGTTGCTAACCAAGTTACTTCATATGCTAATTTAGCGAAGAGTTATGCCACCGTATCTGTATGCATTATGGGATTTGTTTTGTTTCATCTTGTCGTTCCAGGTGATTGGCTGTTGCTTGATATTCCCGGTGTGGCTGTGCTTGATGTGCATGTTGACAACGTGTCTACCTGTCAATTACCCACTACCTCATTCATACTGGCTCTAGGAGACAGTTGGTCGTTGCTGGAGGGGACAGGGTGCACGGTCCTAGTGGCGGTGTTAAACTCAAAGAGCGGTTCCATGCACTCAGTGTGGAGTGGACTACGGTCCAGCCACCGCCTTGTGTGCGCTTGATTCCCCAACTACAGCGTGCTTGTGTTTGCCTGTGAAGGAGTGTGGGCCGGCTCCGTTGATGAAATGTGGCTCCCATCCACATGCCTCCCGGTCTTATTCCTTCGGGTTTATACTGGATATGGGGTGTGTGGTTGGAGCTGTGGGTGGTGCAGCGCAAGCCACCCATGGTCCGTCTGTAGGCGCAGGCGTCCTGTGGCTGGCCACAGTGACAGGCAAATCCGAAACCGGATGCCGCCAACCATATATATATATATATATATATATATATATATATATATATATATATATATATATATATATATATATATATATATATATATATACAGTCTGTTAACAGACATTGTGACATCAGAACCATGGCAGAAGAAAAAAGTACAGAAGATAGAAACATGAACTGTCATTGAAAAGAGGGGAAAAGATTTTTTTGGTCTTACACACATTATTTTAATTCTTTTTCCTTTTTTGTGAGTTTTGTATATATTAAAAGGGGGATATAATGGCAGAACAACATTAACGCCACTGATGTCTGCTGCGGGGATTGACATCTAATGCTTCCAGCCACTGCGATTCAGCATCTCGTGGTCCCCAACCTGGAAGAGAGACTGGTAGAACCGCCGCCAAACTTGAGGATGCCTTCTTCATGCTCCTTCTCCATGTCATTGGATGTCCACTGCGGCACTTTTTTCAATCGCTCCTGGGAGTGCAAATAGCGCTCGACGTTGCAGACGAAGGGATGGCATGCTTAGAACGCGCCCGAGCCGCTTGCGAGCATACGGAGACATTTCACCCCCCTTTCAGTATCACCAGCGGTGTTAGACAGGGTTGTCCAGCCTCTCCATTCTTGTTCAACTTCGACATGGACGTGATCCTGGATACTGCCCTGGATAACTCTGAGTCATGCGGTGTTGAACTGCTCCCTGGTGACCGCCTTCGGGACTTAGAGTACCCCGATGACATCGCTGTGATTTGCGAGTCCTCCCAAGCCGCCCAGCATGTGCTGCTCAGACTGGAGATGTCTGCCGCCCAATATGGGTTGAGCTTTGCCCCTTCCAAATGTAAGGTCCTAGTACAGGACTGGCCAAGCACATGTCCTTCTCTCAGCCTTCCGGGGCATCCGTTGGAAGTGGTCGACAAATTCATTTATCTTGGGAGTTGTCTTAGTATTGGCGGTTTGACAGATGAGATCTCTCTGCGTGTCTCCAAGGCTAGAGTCGTTTTCGCTAACCTTCGTAACCTGTGGCTTCGTCATGATCTCAGCCTCGCTCTAAAGGGATGAGTCTACAATGCTACGGGACGAGCGATTCTGCTGTACGGCTGTGAGACTTGGTCCGTTCGCAAAAGCGATGTTCAGCGGCTATCAGTCTTCGATCACCGCTGCCTGCGAAGCATTGCTGGTGTTCGATGGCAGCACCACATCAGTAATGAGGAAATCCGTCAGCGAGTCTTCAGATCTAACGAACTCCGCCGATCGATTGATAGCATCATCTCACTGCGGAGGCTTCGCTGGCTTGGCCATGTGCTTCGCATGCCTACCCAGCGGCTATCACGACGAGCCCTGTACGCGAGCACAGGTGTGGCTTGGAAGTGATGAAAAGGGGGACAATGTAAAAAACTTGGATCCAATGTGTTAAGGCGCAAACGATGAAGCTGGCTGTTGTCGGGCGTTCCCGACTCCCGGGTTGGGGACCAAAGGACCCCAAGCACACCTGGTTGCAAACGCTGGAGGATATGGCCAAGGACCGTATGCAATGGCGCACTCCTGTGAGACTCTTCTACCCTAATAGTTGTTTTACCTTTCATGCTATCCTTTTTTCTTATGTGTTGTAGCACTCAGCCAATTATATTGTAATGGGTATGGTGTTGAATATATATATATATATATATATATATATATATATAATCCTTCGTAGACAGCGATTGTCGAAGACTGACAGCCGCTTCATGTCTTCCGAGCGAATAGGCCAAGTCTCACAGCCGTACAAGAGTACTGTACGGACGGAAGCATTATACACCCTGCCCTGGAGCTTGAGATTGACATCACGACGACGCCATAGATGTCTCAGTTGGATGAATGCAAGGCGGGCCTTTGCAATCCAACACCGCCACCAGCCATTATGCGACTCCCTAGATAAGTAAAGCAAGAGACTTGCTGCAGAACAGGTCGAGCAATGGTGAGCTCGGGTTCAGGCACCTGCCAGTCCTGGAGCAGCGTTTTACATTTTCTCGGAGTGAAGCAGAAGCCGTACTTAAACGCCTCTATCACAAGGCGGTCCAAAGCGCTTGGGACGGTTTGTGGGTCGTCCCCTAGCAGGTGATCTCATCGGCGTAGTCCAAGACCGTGACTCTGTCTCCAGGGAGGAGCTCAACACCGCAGTTCTGGACACCTGCCAGTGCTCTTTGGACAACATCTTCGATGACGAAATTGAAGAGGAAAGGTGAAATAGGGCAACCTTGGCGAACGCCGCTGGTCACAGCAAATGAAGAAGAGAACGTGCCGTAAAGCCTGACTTTGCCCGAGGTGTGACTGTAAACTTCTTTCAGGATGATTTGGAATCTTTTCGGGCACACCTTTCTTCAGTACCACAACGCAGAGCTATCTACTGAATGAAATGCCGCTCGGATGTCCTGAAGCACTACGATTGTTGGCCGCCGATGGATGTGACGAAGTTCGAGAACTTGGCGAAGCGTGACGAGGTGGTCGAGGCAGGCGCAGCCTGAATGAAATCTGACTTGTTTTTCTCGGGAAAACTCTCTAGTTGTTGAAAGCCTGCTAAGTAGGACCGACACGAAGATTTTGGATGCGACAGAGATCAACGAGA